GGACACGAGGTGTGGGGGCACGGGGGACACGGTGTGGGGACGTGGGACACGGGACGTGGGGACATGGGGACATGGGGACATGGAACACGGGGCGTGGGGACACAGGGGACACGGTGTGGGGACATGGGGACATGGGGACATGGGACACGCGGTGTGGGGGCATGGGACATGTGACGTGGGGACATGGGGACATGGGACACAAGGCGTGGGGACACGGTGTGGGGACATGGGACACGGGACACGGGGCGTGGGGACACGGGGGACACGGTGTGGGGACATGGGACACGGGACACATGGAATGGGGACACGGGACACACGGTGTGGGGATGTGGGACACAGGACGTGGGGACATGGGACACAAGGTGTGGGGACACGGGGGACATGGTGTGGGGACATGGGACACACAGTGTGGGGACGTGGGACATGTGATGTGGGGACATGGGGACATGGGACACGTGGTGTGGGGACATGGGGACATGGGACACGTGGTATGGGGGCATGGGACACACGGTGTGGGGACACAGGGGACATGGTGTGGGGACATGGGACACACAGTGTGGGGACGTGGGACACGTGACGTGGGGACATGGGGACATGGGACACGTGGTGTGGGGACACAGGGGACATGGTGTGGGGACATGGGACACATGGTGTGGGGACATGGGACATGGGACATGGGACACGTGGCATGGGGACACAGGGACATGGGACAGGCAACACGCGGTGTGGGGACACGGGACGTGGTGGGGACATGGGGACACAAGGACATGGAGACACAGGGACACGTGGTGTGGGGACATGGAAAACATGGCGTGGGGACATGGGACACGTGGTGTGAGGACATGGGACACACGGTGTGGGGACACGGGACACGGGGAGTGGGGACATGGGACATGAGACATGGGACACGTGGTGTGGGGACATGTGACACAGGACATGGGAGAGGCAACATGCGGTGTGGGGACACGGGATGTGGTGTGGGGAGGTGGGGACATGGGGACACGTGGTGTGGGGACACAAGGACACGGGGGGACACAGGGTGACACGGGGTGACACACACGGGGGGACACAGGGTGACCCACCTCCGCGCTGCCCTCCTCCCCACCTGGCCAGGGACCCCACGGGAGACACACGGGATGTCACCCACCCCCCATGATGTCACACCCCCAATGTCACCCACCCCTCCATGATGTCACCCCCC